CCAAGATTCCAAATCGACACCCGGGTCTGAATCGGGGATTACTATCGGTCTCCCGGCATCAACAACGGGCCAAGTGTAACGATACACTTAGGGAACTCATCAAAGACTGACATCTGCCCTGTGATTCAAGCCGACGTACAGGCGTGTGACGAGGTGCGCTGGCCGCTGCAGGGTATTGTACAGCATGAAGTTCGCCAGCGTCAGTCTGCTTCTCACAGCAGCTCTAACGCAAGTCCGCGCCTCCCCCACCTTGAGACCGAAATGGGTCAAGCCTCCATACTTCATCACCGTTGGTGACTCAACGGTGGCTATTGACGGAGGCTGGGGAGACGGCTTCTTGTCATACCTCCAAGACGGGGCGGATGGGATAAACACTGGGAAGAGCGGAGCTACCACCGCGTCTTACCGATGGGAGGGACTCTGGGACAAGGCTATTGCGGCAGTGGAGGCAAACAAGGAGGCATTCAGTCCAATTGTGACGATTCAGTTTGGACACAACGACCAGAAGCCGCAAAACGGCGTCTCCGAGCCAGCCTTCCAACAGAACCTTCAGACAATGGCAGAAGAGGTCCAGAGGGCAGGAGGGACACCTGTGAGTAAAAGACTTCCCTTACTAACCTTGGAAATGACACGGGCGTGGCCAGTCACTAACCTGACCACAAGATCATCATCACCTCCTTGACCCGTCGGACATTCTCTGGCGGCGCCGTCGTGGAGAACCTGGCTGCACACACGGCGCTCGCCATCCGCGCCGCGGAAGCTGTCGGGATAGACTACCTGGACCTCAATAGAGCCAGCACCGACTACATTAACAGCATTGGCAATGCGAATGGGGGCTTTTATGACTGGGGCCCCGGCGACAAGACGCATCTCAACCCCGCGGGAACTGTAGTCTTTGGCAGGATGGTTGTCGATTTATTGCTTCGAGAACGTCCGGATCTGGAGCCTTACTTTAGGCCACAGAAGGCTCTGAGTGATAAGATCTGGTCGGGCGAGTTTGCCACGGGCGACGAGTGATTCCTTTCTGTCAAGTTGTGCTTCGGGGGTTCTGGATATCTGCCTATTCAAAAGAGCATCAAAAGTCAGTAGAGGTGGGAAGGAAGTCTGTGAGAAAGATGTAAGAAGAAAGAGAATATACTCAAGGATCAATGGCCTGATGCAAACTCCAGTAGATAGTCGGATCATGGGCCACAGCGCTGGGCCGACTGGTTCTCGGTGTCATTCTCGACTGTGCATCCTGACTGTTAACTGCGCACTACCCAAGTCAAGGTAGCCTGATCAGTGAATGGACTTGGTCAATTGATCCTTGACAGAGCTAGGTCTGAAAAGAGTGCCATATCATACAGTTAGATCGTATACGCACTTTTGTGTTGGTTTGCATAAGTGTATTCTCCTGACAATCATGAGCAGCATAGGGTATGAACATGGAAAGAAGCTATCGGAGAACCTCGAGGAAGTAGAGATGTACTCATGTCCTTCTATTTGTTTTTAATATGCTTATTCTCAGTTTGATAGAAGGCAATCTTGTTTGTCTGGCTGTCATCCGCTTCGCCAACGAGGACAAGCCCCAACCCCCGGGCTTTATAAGGGCTTGCTGGCTTTTCCCACGCAGTTGAGGGCAAGGCATATGGAGCAAAGAACATATGGTTGGGACTGGGATCTTTCACGCGCAGGTACGAGCCGAAAGCTTCGGTACAAGCCATTTGTTGGCTCGGCACATCACGATTTGCTCATACCAACAAAGGATGGCGTTCCAGGAGCGTCGCGTGTTCCGGGTCCAAGGAACCGGAACTCAGGACCCTTTCGACACTAGGTCGAAGGACCATACATCACCCACCAGATGAGTATCTCCCAGTGGGATGGATCAGTCGCTTCCTCTGGCCTGTTTATGATGCATATCCTTAAGGCTATAGCCAACAGTATGGGACCTTGTAATACTGGGTAGTTCGTATGAGAATTCGTGTAGCGGTGACTTTCGTGATACTCTGCAACGTATATAGGTGATGGCAAATCGAGGAAGGAACGGCAACGCCGGACAGAGAACAACCCTTTGATAGTTAGCACCTGGTATCGATAGAGGATTTAGAAAACGGGAGGGTAGTATGGCCTTCTCTAGCCTCACGACTCTCACATCAAGCCCATTACAAGGCTCATGAAATCTGCTGGGCTGACACATGATGGTCAAACGGCAGCGCGTACTGGTGTTGACACGACTTGGAGGCAAATGTCAACGAGGAATCACACTCGTGCTTCGAGGTCATGAAGTCCTCATATGTTTCTTTACGCACAGTGCTCTCGAACCATGGATTGACAGCCCACAGCCTGGGAGCAGCATCGATTCCTCAGAGCCCGGGGCATCCCCGTGTAGCTACTTTGGCCCTTGGTCCATTGACTGTGGGCAGTGCATTTGCCACCAGGACCGGTCTTGTGCCTAAGATCCAGGCCAGACCAAATGAAGCCTCCACAACGAGCGCTTGCCGAGACGGAGGCCACACGATGGAAGAGGGGTGTTGCCACTCGTAGATTGTCAGACTGGGTCTATCGTCTGGCATCGACCCCCTCTCGCCAGCTCCTCTAGACCTTGACGCGCGCTGAGCCTGACCATAGGAGGAAGGAGGTTGGGTGGAAACTGGCGGAATTTTTGATCTCCAGCTGGTGGCGAGGCACACAATGGTCAGCAATAGACGTCCATCGAAAGCCGAGGCCAGGATACGAGGTGGACAAGGCGCCCCATCTCCAGCAGCACGCTGCAGACACGTGAGCTGTGCCTTTGGACCGATATGCTGCCGCGTCAGCTCTCGTGGCAGTTGTGTACTGTGGGTAACGCAGGTGGTGATGGCTCTTGATGCGGAAGCCGTCGAGGCACGTCGGGGTATCGAGGAGTCCGTTGGATGACAGGATCCAGAAGGGCAGCAGGGCCGGAAATTGATGTGACGACCTCAAACAGGTCTGCATGAACCAGGTCGGCTCCACGGTCAGGAGTATCCGCCAAGGTTATCCATAGTGCGCCAAAGTTGGACGATGCGACGCCCTCATGTCCAGGCTGGACGTTGTGAGATAGGGCCGGCAGTCAGGTCATCTGCACAGTACCGAGAAATGACTCTACCACAGAAGGGTGATGATGGAGTCAGAATGGCAGGCTCCCAATAATTGGGCATTATGAAATGGCGTAGGCCATCACACCCGGGACAGACATGACGTGCATGAGGGAGAGCCAACCTAGACGGTGCGGCTTTACGGCCCCCTGGTCCCAAGCCCACGTCTTGGCTTGAGGAAGGGAGGTTGGCTGTGGGAAGCTTGGCAATTTAGCCGCTGTGCAGGCTGGGAGCAGGCGCCGCCTCCATCCTATGGAGAGGAGAGGGAGCGAGGGAGCATTAGGCTTGTTCATAGCCAAGGGGGATCCAAAGTGGCCCGGCCAGCGGTGATGAGTGGCACAGCCCCGGCGTTATCTGCAGAGGTAAAGAGACAAGATAGACCATTGCTGCCGTGCCTGAAGGGCCGGCCATCATCGTGGATTTCGGGATGCGCAGCCGTCAGCTGGGCCGACTACCGAAGCCACCCCAAGCACAGAAGAGGAAGGGGAAGAGGACGGGGGAAAGAAATTCCCCGGACAGCCAATATTCCAAGATTACGAGCATGGCCTTTTCCTCGTTTCAGATGCAGCCGTAAAGCGAGGCGAGCTGAGCAGCGGGGAGAGCGCGCGGGCGCAGTGTCATGATGACGGCTGCGTGATTTTCGTCTCGCCCTCCGTGCCTTCTCATCTTTGATGTTGCTTTCTCTCCCGACATAAGCAGTGCATGTAGTCCGAGCTTTGAGCTCCAGGAACTTGCGGCCCGTCTTTGCCATGAACATGCAGCGTGGACATTGTGTATGTGTGTGTGTCCTCGTGAGTCGGAGGGAAAAACATAACAAAAAAAAAACCCCGAGATATGCGCACATGGCGCGCTGAGCATGAGGTGAGATACAGCACAGCGAATAGGGTAAAATACCAGAGCTGTCAATTGGGGTTACATGGCCAAAAGACCTGTCAGACGTGCTTTCGCAGGATGCATGGACGAAGGAAATTGCCGTCCCGACGCCCGGCGTGGGTTTGTCGTTGCACGGCAGGGCACATTTCCCCAGACTTTGTGACCATGTCAACGGCGTGCATGCATGGTGGCACGCACGCGCGGGTGGTGTTGTGTTGGTGTTGCATCTGCAGAGGGTGTTTCCAAGTCAAAAACAGTATGGCTTTCTCCCCCACATTTTTCTCATCAGCAATCAGCAATCGGTCCGTTGTCACGCACTCCTCCACCAACCTTCTTCTCTCTCTTTGCATGCCATGCCTATCTGGTTTGCTGCACCCCATGTAGGGAAGGGGAATGAGTATATGCAAGGAAAAGTCTGGACAGATATTTTCCCGGGGCAGCCAGCATTCACTGGATAGCCTGGAGCATCAAGACGAGCAAGCCCCCCTCCGCATTGTCAGAAACGTGTCTGCTCCAAACAGATATCGCTACCGTCATTGCCACCATCGCAGCTACACATACATGGAAGACCAAGGACTCAGGCTCACCGCGATGCCTTCTCCTACGGAATATCAGGTTCTGACTTGGAACCCGCCTTGCCGGATGGCATCCTAGCTGCCGCCCCGGCACTTGGCGATTCTAATTTGCACGCGCGCTCATTCGTCCGCCCTCCCTGCTGAAGAGCCCCCGCCCCTTCAAGGCAGGGACTGTAGATCACTGCCCCTGCCTGCAAATGCTTGAGTTTATCGAGCTGCCAGACACACCCCCTCACACACCTTTATGTCCACGCGCTCATCTGTGCATGCTGGCGTTCAACGACACGTCTTGAAAATGCTGGCAGCCGTTATGGCCACAGTCCATGTGATAACGTCGATAGTCTGATGATGTGCCCAATGCATTCGAATTACCTCTGGGCCACATGTATTTGAGCCTCGCTGATTATGGGGAGACACATTATCATCCAAGCAGCAAAAACTTGACAACCAAAAAGATTGCCCGGGGCCTGGATCGAACAGACGACCTTGTCATTTCCTCAACGATACGAGTGACACGCTGGAATTCTGTTAGTCGCGCCATCTAAGTGAAACTTAGGCGATAAACGTACCACTACCACTGTGCTACCAGGGCGATCGATAATCTGAGGCCTCTTATTACATACTATACTACACAAGCTTTGGCCCCGGATCAAAACTGCAGCCCATACCCTCTTTACTGCGGACAAAACATATTTTTTTCCTCAACGTATCAAAATGCTGGTAGTAGACTTTTCATCTGCGAGGCGTCATAGTATGAAGACAACAGGTTAGAGCAAGCTGGGTGCTTCTGAGCCAAGGCATTGCGCCCAAATTGTAGCAAGCCTACGCCGACTCTTCGCCATGGTCAACCCCCCCCCTCAAACCAGATCATCCTCACAGAGACACTGCCTTCAGCTGGCCGATGCAAGTCCCTAACAGTTTCTGTCATTTGACAGAGGGAGCCTGAACCACCGATGGCTTTAGCACATTATTGTGGCTGGCTGAAAATAATTGGAGCAAGAAAGAATAGAATACTGGAATATGCCGATCACCGCTCTCGCTAAGCGCACCCCTCCGGGTTCCTCCGTGCCTTACGACCGATGCATGAACAAAATCAAGGCCAGATGGGGGCGATATGCCCACGCCCCTTTCCATGTGGCTACGCCCCTCGCCCATCCCCATCCTCAGTACTACAGTACCGTACTGTCCTCCTCTGCGCCGTCGTTGTCGCGGGCCGAAGTCCCAGATTGCCAGCAAAACGCTATTCTGGAGCCTGTTCGCCAGGCACGACATTTTCCCGACCAATCATCCACGCCCATGCGGGCCATGATGCGACGGGGACCCCTTGTCAATCCGGGGTAAACCATTCATAGAGCCGAACACCATCTCCCCATCTCCACAGTCCACTTCTTGTGCCTGAAGTGCCTGAAAAGGTGCTTGGAGGCAGAAAGAAGGAAATCCCGGTCCGTGGCTAGCCCTTATCCACCCTCCTGTTAAGTATGCCTTGAGGAGAGAGGAGAGAGGAATAGCCCAGGCTACACCGGCCAATCATGTCTTGATCAAGCCGGGCTCTTTTGTGCTTCTTCCGTCATCTGCGTCGGCCCAGTACCTGCAGGTGCTGTTGTGGCGTGGAGTCTCCGAAGGCCCTGACGTCTACACCACCAAACCGCCTCCATATCACCACCATCACCATCATCAACACCACCTCGCCTCACTAGTCTCCATATCGGCACTTCTATGCCAAGGAGTTTGTCGGCACCACGTCCCAGATGATGACTTCACGCCTTCCCTTTCTTGGTCCAGTATATGTCATGGGCGATTGGATTGCTTGTGTAGTCATATATTTGCTTTGCATATAACAATGCCAGCTAACTATTTCCATTTGCCTAATAATGCCGTGACCAATCGTCTCATGTCATCGTGACACTCCTTTTCGTAACCAAAAGTGTATGCAAAATGCAAAGTAGTACAGGATGTGTGTCCACCCTCCAACACCAGCTCGCCAAGGTATCAATAGAAAAGAGTATGTGCAGCCGCCACCCTCCCCGTTTTTTCGTGATGTGCGTATAATCATGTACAAGATAAGGATGTAGAAGAAGAAGAAGAAGAAGAAGAAGAAGAAAATAGAAAGAAAGACCTCATTTCGTGCCGGTCCCCTCCCCAATCGGGAACTCGTGCCCGTATGTACATGTCTTATTCCGTGCTCAAGCCCACGGTTTTTTTTTTTGCCGCGACTTAGTGGACATAGAAGGAACCATCCATGAAGGATCCTTGGATCCCCATGTTGGCATAATCGACCGGCATCACACCGTCGTTGACACTGTACATAGTGGGCTCGGCCTGGGACGAGCATTGGGATTGTCCCCAGTACATGCCGTCGAGATCCCACAGCCCTTGCTGGTCGAGCATACCCACCACGTCGTCCGTCTCCAGCCCAATGGGAGACATGTGTAGATCCTCGTCGGTAATGACCAGGCCCGCCTCTGAGCTCAGACCCTGCATCAGGCCCTCGCCCTGGGCAAAGGATGGCTGGCGGCTGGCCTCGTACATTCGCCACACCACCTCCCGGCTGCGGCGGGCAGCCAGGGACCAGTCCTCCATGGCGTCCAGCAGCTCCAGAATGGTCTCAATCTGCTTTTGCCACTCAGGTACCAGTGGGCTGTCCCACTGCCAAAAGATGCTGACGAGGGGGATCATGGCCGCCTGGTACAGGAACCACACGGCGTTCCAGCCAGACATCTGGTTGCGGGTCCACTCACGAGAGATGTCCTCAATGGTGGCCTTGGCCAGCTCCCGGCACGTCTCCACCGCAGCAATGTCCTCCTCAGAGATGTGCGAGGCCATGCCGACACTAGCCATGCTCAGGAGCACGGGGCGGTGCAGGAGCATGCGGAGGTTCTGGTATCGCCACTTCATCACGCAACGCGCAATATACAGAGGCTCGGCGCAGGGGTCCGTAGTCCTCAGCAGCCACGGCAGGTTGCTGTACCAGTTGACCAGCTGACCGTCCATGTTGCATCGGTCCTCTGCCCTGAGGAGTGGGGTGATGGCCAGCATGTCCTGGATCTGCGTGGCAATCTTACAGAACTTGATGTTCTCGATCAGTGGCAGAATGCCTGCATGCTGCGCTGAGTCACGAGCCTAGAGATTGGGGGGTCAGCTTTAGATTGTCTCGCGGTGTAAGGCGGTAGCCACTCACTTGGTTGATGCCAAACTCGGGCGGTTGAATGTTGATCGCAGGGCCCCAACGTCCGAAGGAGGGGCGGCCCATGGTCGTCGTGGCCCAGGTGTCCAGGCAGAACAGGGACCACCAAGTACGCCTCCGCGTCTCCGCAGCAGCCATGTCGCTGCTGCTCTGTGCCAGTGATTCGCGATGAAGCCCCAGGGCGCTAGCCATGCGGATCGCTGCCCCAATGATAGCGTTGGCCATGTTGGGTCGGTTGATGTAGTGGAGGTAGTAGCCTCCAATGATGGCCAATGCCTGGACCATCTCGATGTGGCTGCTTCCGAAAGCGTCGACAGTGAGGTGCTCCATGGCCCGGTTGTAGTAGTTGATGTGGTTGAAGTCGTCCGACTTCATCGCCACAATGCTGCCCATGGCGAAGACCATGTTGAGCAGAGCCAGCCAGGGAGCGTCGTTCCTCTGTCCATCGAGGTAGTCGGCACGGAAGGCCGCCTCGTCAAGCATGGGGATGAACACGTGGATTCGCTTGAAGTAGGCATCGATGAGCGTCTGGCCCTTCCAGGACCAGGCAATGCGAGAGTTGTCCTTGGGTGCCATGGTGCGCTGGCGGATGACTGGTAGGTTGTTGGCCATCTCGACGCTGTGCAGGGGAGGAGCCAGGGAGTTGCGGAGCTGAGGTTGCACCTTGAGCATCACCATGAGAGCAGCCTTGATGGAGGAGGCGCCCAGGTAAGAGGTCTGGCGATCCATGGAGAGTGACAGAGCATTGACATCGTCTGCCTCGACGGGGATGTGGTCCCTACCACGGCGCTCCTCATCCCACTCGGAGTCACCAGTTGGCATCTGCTCGAGACCTGATAGTGTGGGCTCTGAGCCCTGGCCGTGTGGAGAGCCGAGATCTTGTGCGCTAGGGGATGGCTGGAGAGGTGGCGAAGGGAGTGATGAGGGGTTCTCTACCTCGGGTCTGTCAAGAATGCTGAGAAGATCCTGGCGGGAAAGGGGAAGGAGGGCTGAGACCTCATGGTTGGGATAAAGCCGCTTGAGGATCGACCTGCACTCCTCCAGGGACTGCGATAGCGCCTCTAGGGTCCTATAGACTGATTAGACTACAGGCTCCAGCGCATGTAAAGCGAGGACAGCAGCAAATACGTACTTCCTGGATGGAATGACTCGCTGGCGGTGCTTGTCATAGAAACAACGCTTGGGGGCGCGGCTAGAGAGGCACTGTCCACATGGCTGCTGGCCATCGCAGCGAATCTTTCGCCTCTTGCACTCAGCACAGGCGTGAGGAGTGGTGATACGCTTGCTGCCAGTGTTGCCAGCAGACTTGCCGCCGTCTGGAGACTCAGCTGAGGGCTTGCGAGGAGTGACTCCTTGGACTGGATAGCGGGCACAATGAGTAAGTGGAGCCGAAAGAGGGGAGCGTCTGGGCTATTTGTCTACTTACATGTGTGAAACATGCCACCCTGGGTAGGCACGGGGATGGTTGGTGCCATTGTGAATGTCAACGATGATGTGTTTGAGCGGCTGGGTGAAGTTCTTATAGGCCAGACAATAACGTGATTGTCGAAGCAATATAGGAAGCTTCTGGACGAGTGAAGGACAAACTCTTGCGAGGATGGATGAGTGATTGACAGGAGATGGATGATCTGGAGGAGGGGGATGATGAAGATATATATATATAAATGACTGCAGCAACGATATTGCAGCCCAGAGGACTCATCATGAAGGGGGTGTGGCTTGGATGGAGAGTGTGGGGAGAAAAGCTGGGGCAAGCATGGCGACTGTGCTTAGGATATGGGGAAATTAGAACCGGGGTTGCCATTGGCAGAAGGCAAAGTTGGGGTATAATGCTAGATGGGGGATTTGTATTTAGGCAGAGAGGGGTGGAAGGGCGCTCAGTAACAAGAGAGCAAGAGATCGGTGGCACCGCGCAGCGGAGGTGGTTGCCGATGGATGCTAAGGCAGTGGATGGGCCAAGATGGACCCCCCTCCCCCTGCCACGAGCGAGTGGTTGGAGAAAACTTGAGTCTCCCGCTGGCGATCGACGGAGTATCCTCCCAGGAACAGGGAAGACCAGGGCCCTCGCCAGCGGGACGTCTTGTCAAGTTTGAAGTCTGGTGACTGGCAGCAGCATGGCCAGCTCCACCCAAGGGCAGAGTGGTGCTGGAATCAAAGTAGGCGATCCATGCATGTTAGGAAGGACGATATGCCGATGTGGCTCTGTGATTCTCACAAGGCCTCGGTCCGTCTGCCGGGGTAACGTGAGCGAGCCAGGAATTGAAGGAGCTGGGCCCCTCTCTGGCTCATACACCGGCTGGTATGCCCTGGGTTTGATCAACTTGTCTGGTCGGATGGCCAGGCCGGCGACGATCCGGCAAGTCCCCTCTGTTTGCGAAGACAGCCGGTTTCTGTCCGGGGCCTGTCTG